TTGATCTGTTGATCTTCACTTCATAAGCTTGTAGAGAACCCATTAGTTCATCAAAGGAGAACGTTGACAGATCTTTTGATTCCTCAATTGCAGCTACGACATGATCAAACTTAGGGGATAGACTTCTCAAAACTTTAGCAATTATAGTTTCATCAGCAATTACTTCTCCATAGGTCCTCATCTGACTTACTAGAGAAGAAATATTTGCCAAGTACTCTTAAACAGATTCATTTCCTTTCATCCTGGCTGTTTCAAACTCCCGACGAAAGGATTGAAGCTTCACAGTAATTACTTTTGAAGAACCCTGAAATTGGTTTTCAAGATTGACCAAGCTTGCTTTGTTGTGGTTGCTGTTGCAATACGGGAAAAAATCGTCTCATCCACTGCTTGTTGGATGAGAAATAGAGCTTTAGCATCCCATTTCTGATTCTCCTTCTATTTTGCATCATCATCACTTCCTCCAGTACCCCCATTCTCGACTAATTCCCAAGATCTTGAGACCTAAAGAGCGTCTTCAATTTTATGCTCCAATATTCATAAGATGCACCTTTGAAGACTAGAATCTGTGGTGATGCCACATTGACCGTAGATAGGTTTGCTGCCATATTTAACAAAGAAAAGGGAACTTGGGTCTGATACCAGATTGTTGGAAATACTTAAGCAAACAGAGAAGAAACTGAAAGATTACTCAGCCACTTGTTTTATTTATTTGAATCAAGCAGATGCCTTACATAGGCAGTACAATAGGCAAAAAGATAAATGCTCTGGATAACAAACTCACAACCTATCTAACTAAAAATCAGGAAACCAACTAGAGAATTGACTCTCCATATTTGACTATATCAAACCTAGAAAACAACTGCAAATTGAATTAATCTTCCAACACTTATAAATGTATGAATATGTATAATCATCTATTTTACTCCACAATATATTATAATGAAGAATTTATATAAAAATAGTTCCACTTTTACTCATAAATATGTGAAATAATTATCAAGAAATCTTTTGTAATTATAACACTCATTTTCAAGCAACAAAAATTCAACCTCTTCCCAAGATCTATTACATCTATATTATAAAGTACATAGTCCATTTTTAACTCATTCAAATCCTATTACAGTATTTCAGCACAACCCTAGTTCCCATCTTTAGAGCCTCATAATCCTTTGGCCGACGTGTATATCACACAACCATTCTTATCAAAACAACTGCATCTATGTCTTTCCTTGATCATTGAATGGTTATCCAAATTTCATAGGGTAAAGTTACCATCATATATGCAGTAATATCATGCAAATTATACATTAATTTTATCAAACACACAAATGTGTACTACTTTGACTTCTTCATCTTCAAGTTTGATTATTCTTTTTCCTTTTCTTTGACTTCTCTGTTAAATCAAATATAGAAACCAAAAATGCTGCTAAATCGAAAAAAGAAACCAAAAATGCTGTAAAATCAAACTAACAAATCAGGAGAAGGTTGAAAGTGAATCAAAAGGTCAAAATCCTAGAGAAGCAATTGATTTCAAAAGAGAAGCTTATCTTGAACCACTAAGATTGATAGAAGGCGTCGATACTAGTAGGAGAATGACTCAAACAGAAGGTTGAAGGAAAAAACTACTGAGAAGGTTGAAGGAGATCGATACAAGCCATTAATCAATATATGATCAAAAAACCGTTAGAATGAATAGTCATCTCGGGAAGAGAAGCTTTGGGGAAAGTAAAGCAGGAGAACGAATAGTCAAATCGGGAGATTCCCAAAAGCTTTGAGAAGTTCTACAATATGCTTTTCATTTGTAATTAAAAGATTTTTAAAATAGTACTTTAAAAAAGCAGTACATTAAGCTTTCTTAGTTGTTTTTAAGATTTTATGTATAAATCTGTAGTACTTCATGTATTAAAAATTGTTTTTAAAACTTTATAAAATATGCTTTATCGGGTAATACAAATATATCTAAATCTTAAGTGATACAGAAGATAGTGTGAAATGTTTTTGTATTAGTCTTTATAGTAGTCGTGCAATGACATATCCAACATTTTTGTCGAGTGCGTATATATTTAAGGTGGGGTAGTTGTAGTTGTATATTTTTTCGAAAATAGATGTCATACTTATATTTATCAATTTGATGATAGATGGTGACGTAAATTTCATCACATTTATGGAAGTCTTCTTATTAAGTACAAAAACTAATTCCAAAATCATAAAAGAGTACGTAATAACGACCGTTTGCAATCTCAGATCGGTTAAGGAATTTTTGATGAAAATCGAGAGACGAATAGATAATGATTTATTTTATGTTTTGATTTGATGTTCTAACATTTAATAAATATTGTATGCTTAATATTACTTTCGTTTTCATTACTAATTTAAATTTACGTAAGTAAAATAATTTTGTACTAAGCATCAAAAGCTACTTTTAGAAATCATAAGAATGGTGCCTGATTGGTTTGAGCTTGGCTCCAAAGATCAAAAGTACCAGGAGGTTTCAGGTTCAAATCTAAGAAGGAATAAAAATCCTCTTGTGGTCACGGAGGTTCAAATGCGGTGACTTCAGGCTATCTGCAAAGCAGGTGATTGTCCTGTGATTAGTCGGGTTGCATAGCGGGTTGTATATACATGTTAATAAAAGAGAAGAAGCTACTTTTATTTTGGATGTGTAAATCGATACATTTAATTACTATTTTTTAAAATAAAAAATATTTATTAAACAAAAGTTAAATAGTTTATGTTACTTATTATAACTATTTGATTATTTATGCTAATTAAAAAATCATTTAGGTGGTGTTTGTTTTTTAAAAGATGATAAAATCTGAAGTCTGATTTCACTTCTGATCTATAAGAGGTGGTCCTGAATCTGAAATTTGGATCAGTAAGATTGTTTTACTTGAACTCTGAAATCTAAATCGGATAAACTAGTGTAAAAATATAAAAGATAAATAGTTTTTTTTTTTTACAAAAGTATAAAAGATGAATAGTTTTTGCTAATAAATCTCTTCCAGCCTCTAAAATATGAACCATGTAATAGAGGACAGATTAGGATGAAGTGGTATTAAAGGATACATATATCACTTAAAATTCAAAGAACATTTAGAGTTTTTGAATTCTTATTTTAAAAATAAAACACATGTCTAAATGAATCAAACTTTAGAGATATTAAAAGGTAATTTTGAAAAAACAAAAATACCCACCGTATTACAATAACATTTGTTGTAGAAAATTTGGTTTTCAGTTTGTCTGGGATTTGATGTTAATTATAAGATATTGATTAAGCTGATCATAATTCATAAATTTAATAAATAAAAAAACAATTTTTAATTATTTTGTTAAAAATATAGGACAAAATGCACAAAATAGCAATCTACTTTTATAATTTTATTTGTTATAGCATTGTATTTTCAGTTTTTCTTATTACAGCAATATACTTTCAAACTATTTTTTATTAGGATATTGTACTTTGAAAAATTTACCCATTATAGCATTGAGTAATCTTTTGATTTAAATTTACCCAYTATACTAGGTTTCCATGCCACCTCATTGTCTATGTAGGCTGTCCACATGTACTATAGTGATGTAACTTTTTTACTACATCATGTACTTCCAAAACTATTTTATTATAGCATCTACTAGTTCTTATTAAACACCGTATTTTAATTTTAATATTTAGATATTTTACAAGTTATTTAATAAATGTATTAAATAAATTATAAATTATTCATTAATATACCAATATCAATAAAACTAGTAGAACACAACTTATCTCGCTAATATTTTTCAAAAAATATGTGTTTTTAAAAAAAAGGAAAATAATTTTACTAAAAAATATTATTTTTTAAAGAATATATTATATTTGTTGAAAAACTTTTTACTTGACGTATAAATATATTAAATTAATTAGATTTTTTTGTAGATAACAATTTATTTCGTTAATATTTAAGAAAAAACTTCAAAAGATATGTATTTATTTGAAGAACATAAAATAGGAAAAGTTACATTTTTTTACAAGCAAAATATATCTTGAAAATAATGTTTCATGTTTATCTAATAAATATCTCTAGGAATATTTAATTTGCATGCAACTTAATAAGAAAAAAGTAAAAAAATAAATAAATATTTTTTTAGATTATAGCAATGAAAAATAAAAATTACTAATAATAATTTGAAATAGATTTTTATTTTAATTTTAGTTAAGTTATCAAAATGATGTGTCATCCACATCATCTCATTAAAGCCACACAAGCAAAAAAGTCAAAGGGTTAACCGGTTTAAAAGGTAACAGGTTACCCATTGCTATTATGGATAGATTTTTAAAATACAATGCCTTAATAAAAAATAATTTGAAAGTATATTACTATAATAAAAAAAACAAAAATAAAATACTATAATAAAAAAATTTATAAAAATAAATTATTATTTCATGCATTTAACCCTAAAATATATTACCTTTTAATTTATACACAACTTTGAATTATATTCTACTTTTTTTTTAGATAATGGGGGCAATAACTAGATTCTTCTGGAATAAAGGACGGAACGGAACATTACTATGACACGTGGCAAATAATCTTTGGCACCACCGTAGAACTCACGCAGTCTGTTCCCAGCAGACGAACTCTAGCCGTCCGATCGACACATACCTTTTGACTTTTTACACTTGATCACGAGTTCCAACTTTAAGGAAATCCAAGTTTCTATTAACGCCCCCCATTGGTAGTATTATTTACAGAAAACCCCCTAAGTTTATTCGAAATTGGAATTTTCTGCAAAATAATTTGGAAATCCATGTACAACGTCCATTTTACCTTTGTAAGAAAAATAAAAACTCGAAATATTAATCATAATGATCAAACTTATCATCATTGTAGCTTCTTGGGGGTAGAATTGTAAAGTTACCTTAGTTTAGGGTTCATATTGCTAAATAAATATAATATTTGGGTCAAAAATAAAAGTATTTCACTTTTACAGTGGGAAATGCAAAAGCATTACTATCAGCCCTCTCGACACAAAAATATAGACACAGAAACACACACCCCTCTCTCTAGAAGCCATGACGAGCCCTTCTGCTTCTTCTCGCAAGGTTTCTTATTTCTCTCTCTCTCTCTAAATCTTTTCCTCCTCTTTTATATGCTTTAATGTATACAAATCTGTAATTGTATATATATGTATATACGTGCATCCCTAATTTGAATAACTCCGACTCAATTTGAGATTTTTTTTGATCGAGGGACGATTATTTGTGTGATGATCACTCTTTGTTGGCTTAATTGTAGACGCTAAGCAAGATCGCAACGAATCGTCTCCAGAAAGAGCTAATGGAATGGCAGGTCAATCCACCTGCTGGATTCAAACACAAAGTCACTGATAATCTCCAAAGGTGAGGTCACAATTAATCTTTGTTTTGACTGTTTCAGTTTAATTTTATTTTGAATTGGGAGTTAATTCTTTTCCTTTGTTTGATTTTTGGCGTAAAGATGGGTCATTGAGGTCAACGGTGCACCGGGGACTCTGTATGCTAATGAAACTTTCCAACTGCAAGTTGATTTTCCTGAGCATTACCCTATGGAAGCGCCACAGGTGACATACCTTATCTTGATTTAATGATTCCGATAATAAAATATTGTTCATCGTTGAAATATTTGGTTTCAGTTGTTGTCCTTAGTTAATTTTGGTGTTAATGCGGGCTATGGGGAGTTGGGGGCTTGGGATGGGGGATGAGAGAAGTTTTAGAGTGATGCCTATGCTATCAGAATTTAAGGGAAGTGAAGGAAATGGTAGAATTTGTGAGTGAAAAGTTTATGTTGTGTATTGGGTTTTTCTTTTCTTTTTTTTCTTTTTTTGTTTTGGNGGGGGGGGGGGGGGTGTTCGATGTAGAAGGATATCTAGATGAATAAAGAATATTCCTTAAAGGTAAGTAATTCCAACCCCAATCCAATTGGTCTACTTTTGCAAATGAATGGTCTACTGGTTATATGCAGTTTGTGGAGTTCTGGTTACCTGGTTAGAAGTGTCTTCCTTTTTAAGCAACCCACTTATAATGTCTCCTCTCTATGATTGGACCATCATAATTCTTACTATGTCACAATGATATTGTCGTCATGTTTCCTAAAATCAATCGTACAAGGTAGAAATTCTGCTATGTGGAATATTTGAAGGATCATGGTTAACCATACTTTTAATTCTCATGCCATTTTCTTAGGTGACTTTTTATGTGCATGAGGAGAAAATGTTAGATCTCTATGCTCTATACCTTTTCTTTGAAAACTTTGATTGCAAGCGTTTTTACCTTTTTCTAGCAATGTGTGTTTTGTCTACTTCCATTTAGCTCAACACCAGAAAAACACCAAGAAAATCCAATTATGGAAAACATAGAAGCGGTTATAATTAAGGTGATAACACCAATTAAAATCCAATTACTATTTTTTTCTCTTTTCATTTTACAATTAAGGTGTAGCTCTCAAATTTTTTAAAAAGAAAACTTCAGAGAGTTAAGCCATTCATATATAACATGGATATCATATTTTGAAAGAGAGCACGTAAACTGGTATGCATGATGTAATTGATTTTGACTACTGTGTTGGTCTGTTTGCTGCTTGCAGAAGTTTAGGAGTGTTTATAAGCACTTCAATCAATTTCTTTTTTTCAGTTTGATGTTAATTGTTAAGCATCTTTTCTTTTTCCATGTAATCATGATCTTCATTTGCTTTACTCTGTTGGTTGGACAGGTTATTTTTATTCCTCCAGCTCCACTTCATCCGCACATTTATAGCAATGGTCATATTTGTTTAGGTTTGTCTCTTAACCTTTATTTTCTGGTCAGCTCATTTGTTTTTCTTTACCTTTTTCATCTATTTTAAAAATGCTTTAGCCTAGCAGTTAAGATGAGACCAAATTGCCGTTGCTCCATGTATTTGGCGATATTATTGGCATCCTATCCATTGTCCTTGGAACAACTATAAAAATGTTCAACCCTCAAAAGCTTGTTTATGGTTCTGTTTGCTACTTTTAGCTGTTGGTGTAAGAAAAGGCAATTAGTTTGCTTATAATATCACAGCTAGAAAAACTGAAATCATGAATTTGAATCATGCAATTCAAAAGGAACCCACTCTCTCAAGTAATTTACTCATTATTGCTGAGCTTCCATGTGTGAACTACTTCAGCTGAGGCTAGTAGTAATAATGAACTTAGGGGGTCATCATGGCATGCCTGCGTACTGTACCAGATTGATGGACAATTGGACATGCCATGTGACTTGAGAGAAGATTGTTACCAACAAGTAAACTTTGGGATGGCCATATTAAACTGTAGTAAAAAATGTTGAACACCATTTATATGGATTTAGATGAAGTCTGTTCTAAGATAGATCTTAAATAACTAGGATTTTGATAAACGGATTGATGAAAGAAGTGAAAGCCATTAACCTATATGGGCAAGACAAAAGAAGGAATGCTACCATAGCCACTTTGTGATTTTTCTTTTTGGGAATTATCATCTATATCATCTACAGGCGGAAAGACCGAGACGTGTGGCATTGACAGATTGCCTCTACTAGTATACGTATTACATATAATAGTTTGTACATGATCCTACTTCTGACTTTTTGTGGGATTCTAGAACATACTATGGACGAATAACACTTCATGCTTTGTTAGAAATGTTCAATGCCTTCAGCCTTCTTTCATAATACTCCCACTATCTTAAAGTTTTGGTCCCACTTGAATTGTTAGCATTTCTTAAATTAGTCTACTTTGTTGAAAAGTTTTCTTCTTTAGTTTTGAAAATCTCTGTCTTAATTGCAATAATCATTAAAAGAGATGCATATCTGACCAACACGACATGCATACTTCTCAAAGATTTACTTTGCTGTGTCGAACACATATCAGACACCAATATTCCACGAACAGTTGTGCTATGGAGTACCTAAAGGTTTATTGGCGGGGACCTCATGGCCCCGTGGTCCACATTTTGTGAACCCTACTTGCCATACCTCATAAGCAAGCACCGGAAAAGACAACCTGTCCTCCCCTGGAATCGAACCCGGGTGGGCACCCCCAAGGCAAGGCATTTACGGAAGGAGGTGGCCACTAGGCCAAGGCCTATGGAGTACCTATGTGCTTAAGCCTTAAGGTTAACACATCTATCTGGACCTACTATAACATCTTCATGGAGCAGCCTCTATTGTGCCACATTCTAGATCAGACGCATAATCAACCACAGAAAGCTAAGATGTTAATGCTCAATTGTTTTATTAGGGGCTGCATTGAGAAGCTAGAACAATGACTTTGGTTTACTGTTCAGTGAAGCTAGAAAAATGATTTTTGTCTGCTTAGCATCTGATAAATAAAATGGAAATATTTGGCAAGTTCTTTTGTGGCGGAAGCATGATTTGTTGCCTGACGACGAATTTATTTCAATTTGTATTGGTTGGTATTTTGAACGAGCCTCAGGGATTCTATGATAGAAACTGTTTATTTGAAAGATTTCTTTTGTCGAAGGTTATCTTTGCAGTTGATAGTTATAGGTTTGAACATTTGATTTTAGAATGATTTTTTTGCATAAACATGAATGGATGTATCGACCTTGGTGGGGAGGGTGTTACTTGTTAGTGGATGTTCCAAGTTGTAACCAATTTTTTTGAGTTAAAGCTAGATATCGTGCAACTTAAAATGGTATATGTTTTGGGTTCTATTTACCGATACCATCTTTTACATTCTTCATATTGTAGCTCATCCTCGTTTCTCATTGCATCAAGTAAATGAAACACCATCTTATCTTCATTTCTTCTTGCATTGTGCGATGGGACCCAGAGAAAAATGTTTAATGGCCTAAATGAAATCGACCTTAACCTTTTAGGTTTGATTTTCAAAAAGTTTTAACATATAATATTCAACATGTAGTATCTAAAATGAAATAGCTTGTGGCCTTCAACGAATGAAAAAAAGATAGAAATTTCGGGTACCCTGGGTTACCCTTTACGGTAGCAACTGGTAACAGGTCCATTATGGCATTATCTCATACCCATAAGAACACGGGTATATGTATCTTACCTATTTGCATGGTCTAACTGTTCACATGTTGGAAAATGCATATATAGTCAAGTATCAATTAACAGAAGTAAGGATTTTGGATAAGCTGTGTGAGCAGGAAGATAGAAGAAGCCCTAAAATGTGTGGAGTCCCCACCACAAAGTGTTGCTTGTGGGGATTTCACGCATTCATGTCTCAACTTGCCTGTGTCGCTTGATTACTTATCCACGTGCTTGACACACAACATATAGTTCAACCTATGTAAGTTGTTTTGGCACAGATTGTTGTTACTTGGATACTGTGGACGCCTTTTGTAGTTTTCTTACCCTGATGTGTTTTCATATGATAATAATGCCTACATACTGTCAGTCATTAAACCGGTAACCCAGTTAACAAGTTCAAGGTTTGAAGTGAATCCTTGCCTTCAACTCATACTCTAGGGTTATGTGGCTTCAACTTCCACGTGTTTTATGTCTGCAAATAAGTGGGGTGCAATTAATAGGATAATGGACACCGGTATCCTGCTCTCCCATCATCTTTGAATTATGTGAATTTTCTAGGCCATATATACCTACGCTTCAAGGATACATGTATGCGGATACAGATCCGTAATACATGGATATCAGGATTCAGAGACTCTAGAAGATTCAGGCAATCAGGCTGTGTTTATGTATGTGTAAATGTGTGTGTGTGCATAAATCTAAAATCATATCAACAGAAATATGGAAGATACAAGAAAAAGAGTATTTCATGATTAATACATGAAATATGGAAGATACAATAGAACCTAAGTCTTATCATGCTATAACTTTTAATTCGTGTGTCTATATTACTGGACACTGTCGGAAAAAAAATAACACATGTCGTCTTGTTTTCCTCTTTTGCAGTCATGAACTTGAGTTTACTTTTTTTTAGCATCTGTTTTAACTTCTTTTATTATGCATTTTCATCTCCTTTCTCTAAAAATAAATACTAAAGCTTCTTCATGCATGTCCTTGTTCTTGTATCCCTATGTATTTATGGTTAATAATTTGGGGATATAATCAAAGCCACATGGGCTGTGAACCCCTAAAGAACCACACCCCCAAGACACCTGACATGGGTTGCAAGTGATAGAGTCACATAGCCATATATGCTTGCCATGTTGTAGGAGACTGAATTACCGGTCATCAAGCATTCATCTTGGTGGTTTTTGGCTTGTTCATAAGGTGGTAATATGTTGGAGGTCCGAGGATCAAAGCTTCAGTTGGTCCTGACCTGTAAAAGAGTAACAACTGAAACCAAGTATTTTGCTCAAGGTAAATCATTCAAAGAATAGTTGGTGATGTGACCACAATCATACCTTCATAATTAAGGCTCTTTCTGTTTGATACAACGAGGCCAATTTCTACACCTGCCACTTTTCAGTGAAGTTTCCCACCATGCTTAAAATGTTCTTGTTATAATTTATAACAGAGCCATTTGCTGTGGAATGGTTATCATGCATATACATTGTGAATTATGGTTTCTCTTGGCTATATGGTTCACCGGGTTCTGATGAAGATGTATATTGGCATAAACTTGCACAATCGTCTATGTGGTATAACAGCGTTGATGAATGGTGTAATCTTGAAGTTGTTTTCTGTGGGTAACATTCAGAACTTGAAGTTGATATATTGACTGTGAGAGACAAACTAGGATCGAGTATGTGCCTTTCTGGAGTGTAGCATGGCATACAGTTTTTCTTTCATTCTGAAGCCAACACTTTGCCAGTAGTAGAGATCTGTAGACGGAGTGCCTGCAACTTACTTGTAATCTAGGATTTGAGGTAAAGGAGGGCGACAGTGATGAGTGTGCACCTGCTGGTAGAAAAATCAGAGGAATTATAGTTCATGATGTTCACTTTTTTCTCTTTGCACGGGCACCAGGTTGGTCAGTCCCTCTATTGTGTATAGATGATAGCTTGTTTATCAGTCATCATTTTGTTACCAATTCACATTTATGATACCAATATAAAATACGAGTCTGATATACCAGTGCTTAAGCATTCACTCACTAATTGCTGCCTGTTTCTTCTTTTCTCTATGGATGTGGAAATTGAATTTCCCTCTTTCACTCAAGATTTGTGACATACCTATTTTCTCTTTAGTAATTAATTATTACTCCATTCCAGAATTAGAGTCCACATTCATGAAAATGTCTCAAGGCATCATGTTCCGTCCCCACAATCACATATCCACAATTTTTACGAGTTTAGGATATTTGACTCTAATTATGGGACTGAAGTAGAAAAGTAGTCGCGATTCGTGTTGGTTCACATGATTCGTTTTAATTTGAATGTTAAAGTTAATTGCAAGTTTGCTTTCAGACATTTCAGCAACTACTATTGATTTGTGTGTAGAGTCAAATCTTGTAATCTTTGGGGAATGGAGAGTATTTAGTATTGTCACTAAGCTACAACAGGTTAAGCATTCCTTTTGGTTAGATTGAACATGTCAAGTCAACGTATTCGCGATTAAACACCCACCTGATTAGCTCCATGCTTTTAGTGGTAATTGGTAAATTAACTAGAGCATGAGTCTGGAAGCATCAAGAATATCCAAAGATAAACGTGAGGAGGAAAACTGAAAAGATGAAAGGGTTTTTTCAAGCTGTATATGATCACAAAATCTTTAGGGGACTCTATTTCCTACAGAAGGAAAAAGAAAGGAAATGAACTAGCACCCATTTTATCCTTACATTTGCATCTTCCTTGTAAAAAATCAGATTGTAATGAGCGAAGGTGGGAGTACTCGGGGTTTTTTTTTGTGTTAAGAAAAAATCCCAAGCAAGGTTGGTCATAGTAAAGTGAAGTTCAGTTCATTTTGTTCATAGAATATTATCAGCTATTGCCTCAAGATTTTATAGTCTTTTCGTCACTTTGTGATTGTTGGATTAAGCCTTGAGCAGACCAATAAAGTTATCCTGTGTGACCTTAGATGTATGAAGATATTTTTTGATTGGTCTTTGATTGGATGGTATTGTGACTGCATCCTGCTAATTTAATATTGGTGCAGATATCTTGTATGATTCATGGTCCCCTGCCATGACTGTCAGTTCTGTATGCATAAGCATTGTCTCCATGTTATCAAGCTCCACTTCCAAGGTCCGTGCTTCGTGTTCTCTTATTACCATTGCCTCTCCCAAAAAGAAACCGAAATGTCGATGTTCTGATTACAATGCTTCTTCTGTGGATGTAAAATGCAACTGATATGACACATGGTTTATATGTTTATTGATGGTACAGCAACGACCGGCTGATGATGAACGCTACGTGAAGAACTGTAGAAACGGGAGATCTCCAAAGGAGACGAGATGGTGGTTCCACGACGATAAAGTATAACGAGTAAAGTGTGTAGAAGGAGTCTTTGATTTGGGTTTAGAAAGGATGTGGTTCCCTTTCCTTCAAAACTCTACATTTTATTTAAAACAGTGTCTAACTTAAGCACGTGGCTCCATAGAAGATTGAGTAATGAATGAATGAATGCCACCTTATGTACTTTGTAAAGTGGATTACATCTGAAAATGCAACCTGAGGAAGTTTCACACTATGTTTTCTTTTCGTGGTAGGTCATGGATTTAAAAAAAAGGTTCATATACCCACAAATATTATACCCTTTCAATGAAGGGGTTGGGTATTAACACCCAAAAATGATTTTAGCAGTAATCATACCGAATCAGTATTATCTCGAGATTAAATCCAGAGAAGGAAAAAAAGCATTGGAAGGTCAGGAATGGTCACCTTATGAATTTATCTATGCTATATTATAAAACATTTAACAAAAATTCTTAAAAACMATTTTTTATGCACGAAATACTGCTTATTGATGCATATTACTTAAAATTTATGATTACAAGTAAATTGTGTATAAGTACAACTTATTAAGGTTTCATATTTGGATTTGTGTAACTAACTACAGATAAACATGTTCAAATATTAGATAAACATCTTATTTTAAATATAAAAAATCTAAAATATAGTTAGTATAATCATTGAGTTCTAACATAATACTTTAGTTATTATCTTTATAAAAAATTATATTATTAAACATAAATTAAATTTCTTTGTTACTAAACCTAAATTAAATTATATTTAAAAATTTGAATTAAGAAAATTACACCAAAACACAAAAACTTTTAAAAAAATTAATTTAATATTCATATCGGTATATTTTTTTTCAAAATTTTATAATATTTTTAAATTTATATTTTATTCAAAAATAAAAACATTATTCTCAACACCACATAAAACCGTATTATATCGACGTCAAATAATAGTAACTCAATATCAACCTAATACTTAGCGTTTGAAAATTTTACAACTCGATCAGACATCGGTTGGGTTAGGTTCAAATAACATCAACCCAATACTTAACGTTTAAAAATTTTACAACTCGATTAGACATCGGGTTGGGTTGGGTTCAAATAATAGTAACCCAATACTTACAGTTTGAAAATTTTACAACTCGGGTTGAGTATTTTGTATTAGGTTGGGTTGGGTTGGGTTGATCGGGTTTTTGAACATCCCTAACGAGTACCGAATTTATAAAAACATGGAGGATCCATCAAAACACAAAACCTTTGGTGGGTTCCTAAAGCATACTTTGTTTTGTATTGTGATTGTGCATACTCAACTCATAGGGGTATTTTGGAAATTATATGAAAACTATGCACTTTTCTCCAAGGATTCTAAATTGAGCTTATTTGGGACAAATTGAGCATAAAACTCAAATGTTTGTTATTGCATGAGTACGTAAAACACTCTGTTAAATATATGTTTAGCTATTAAGCTATTTCTACGCCATAAAACGAGGATATTCAAGTGTCACGAAAAGAAAACGATGTATTTAGATATGTCATCTTAAATGATATTTCTATTAAATTCACGATATTAGAAACGACCCAAAATGAATATTGCAATGCGCTATGCATTGAAGACAATTTTAAGGCATATAACCTTAATTCCATTCCATGACAAGATCATGGAAGTAAAGTCAGTTTTTCTTTAATAGGTCAGAAGGTCATACATTTAATTAAGATCTCATTTTGAGTTATATATCTATATATATATATATATATTTTTTAATCAAAGTATTCAGATGAATTTTTAATTAAAATCATGTAATCTTTAGAAATATCTATAAAAAAAATTGAATTTTTAAAGAGCAAAAGGAAACTTATTTTCTTAAGTTGCTATCAAAATGCATATAGCAACATTATGTTGCGTCTCCAAACTACATCTTCACAATGGAGGTTGGTTGGTTGGTTGTTTCTCTTTGAATTCATTCAATTGGCAAGTTTTCGACTTCATTCCTCACCGAATCAAATAACACGGTCGACAAATAACGTTCCCCGAAGCTCGGAAAAACCACCTGTTCGCAAACTTACAGAATTACATATACGAAACTTGACCCAACATGGATGGATTTTAGAATATGCCAAAATTTGCTTCTTTTTTGATAACCCATGCAAAAACTGTTTGGAAAAATATAATGAAATGGTAAGTCGAGGCTCGAGGGAGATTAACTTACAACGATGAGCTTTCCAGCGTATTCTGGTCGTTTTGCTATTCTAATGGCAGCGGCTGCTGCAGCCCCGGATGAAATCCCCACCTATGAATTTATTGAAATAAAACCAAAAATTCTATAAATCTTAAAGAAAAACTAAACAATTGTAACATTCTGTATATGAACATATATACCAGCAACCCTTCTTTGAGTGCTAGAAGCTTAGCAGTTTCAATGGCTTCTTCACTAGATATCTGAACAGATTCAAACCAAATAGCATCAAAAGGTTACGGATACATTTATATGAAAAGATTTGCAGTTCCATGCTCACCGTAACAACTTCATCAAGAACACTGACATCCAAAACATCAGGAATAACGCCCGCTCCAATTCCTTGGATCTTATGAGGTCCTTCATCAGTGAATGCAAATTAAGATGATAATTCATCACCAACAAAAGGAAATCTTCACAGTATTTAGCATAGAAACACTCGTTCAAGTTCAGAAATAAAGAGAAGCAAGCGAATCCAGATGCAAAAATGATTGGCACAAACGAGACACTCCAAAGAATGAAGCTTTTCAAGAAAACAGACGGAACTGTTGATCATAAATCTTAATGAAATCAAGCATATAGTCCTAAAACCCCATTTATCGTCGGGTTTTCAAGAAAGTTTAATTGAATTAAAAGCACCAAATATAAGCCAAGAAAGTAACAAATACACTTACCGGGGTTTCCTCCATTTAGTACAGCACTTTCAGTTGGCTCTACACCATATACCTATATACGAATTATGAGAAACAAGAAAGAAACTAAAATTTTCTTCTCCCTGTAAGAATATGAGGAACCCCACAAAAGAGTCCTTGTCCCAGAGTACTGAGAGGGAGCTAGAGTCTCTAGAATGGTAGACCTTGGCTCTGATACCATATGAGAATATATGGAACCCCATGAGATTACTCTCCAAGAGAGCGTTTGAGGAAAGGAAGATTCCAACATATACTGAGGAGAAATGGTTCAAGTCTAGCCGATATAGGACTCTAAAACTACCCATGCCCCAAACTTTTGTATCTTGAAATCAAGAACAAGATCACCTTTATGTTTGCGTTTTTCTCCTTAAGAAACCTCCCCACGCCAGTCACGGTGCCACCTGTCCCTATGCCAGAAACGAAAGCATCAACTTTCCCTTTAGAGCCATTCCATATCTCCGGTCCGGTTGTTTCATAATGAATCTGCAAGATTACCATCATTCACACGAATATTCAGACATCTTCTCCTTTTTCTTTGTAGGTAATACAAAAAAGAACATCTTAAAACAAGTTATAGCCTATTTCGGGCTCTCCAAGCCCAAGATTAGCATTTGTGCAGAAATACCTTTGGGTTAGCAGGATTATCAAATTGCTTAAGAAAATAACTATTGGCCGTTTTCGCTACTATTTCATCGACTTTCTGAAAAACACCATCAATGCCCTTGGCTGCATCTGTGATGCACAACTCTGCTCCAAAAGCCCGCATAACAATCCTTCTTTCCATGCTATAAGTAGCTGGCATAACTAGAATAAGTTTGTAACCTCTAGTTGCTGCAATGAAAGCCAACCCGATCCCAGTATTGCCGCTGGTGGCCTCAACCAACACCGTCTTCAGGAAACAGTAATCCATTGATTAAAGATTTGCATCAAGATTAAGTTGTATAAGAAGGTGAAGACCATCTTGGTCAAAGAAACTATCTAACCTTCCCAGGGGTAATCAGACCCTTGTCTTCTGCATCTTTAATCATACTAAATGCAATCCTATTTGTTTAAAAAATAAATAGCGGACACGTTGACAGTTTAATTAGAGATACAGTCATTGCATGCTTAATGAATCAGCACAAAGAAAGAAAGTTCACCTATCTTTTACACTTGAGCAGGGTTCCATAGTCTCTAATTTGGCGGCAATGCGAGCAACACAACCATCCACCATCTTTTTAAGATAAACCATAGGGGTGTTTCCTATTAACTGCATATTAAGAGCGGAAAAAAGATTCAAGTAATCCAACCCTTTGGGAAACTGTTAATCTGTTCAAGATTCTCAAGGAATGGATTTTTACTTCGGTAATATCTTCCGCAATTCCATTGTTGGCTTCCATGTTTCTTCGAGGTTACTGAATGGTGGTTACAGGGAAGAAGTTAGCATATGGCTTCCATGTTTCTTCCGCAATTCCATTGTTGGCTTCCATGTTACTCATAAACTAGCTATTAACTAATAAACTAGTTACGTAGGTTAAAACTAGCTGATAAGCTAGCTGTTAGATGATATACTAGTCATGTTTAATAAAAACTAGCAGACTAAAGGAAAATAGAGGGGGTTAACAGGAAAAAGGTATTTTCTGAAGTGAAGTAGGCTTTCAAAAGCTAGCTTAACGGGCTTTTGGGATAAGCTCAAAAAATAAGGTATTCACCTCCATTTCTTAGGTCTCATTATCATTTTCAAACTGTAACGAGATCTACAATCATATCTTTCATTTTCTTTTCTCTAAGACCAAATGAAACTGTTTCATGTTCATTCGTTTATAACATCTAATATTCATCAATTTTTATGTTGTTTTGCATGATCTTGAAGTGAAATTTAGTGTGATTGTGGATGCTATTCACTTGATTTGAGTTGAATCTGCAACCCACAAAATCAACACAGAAAGTAAAGGCAAAAGGCCAAATAATTCAATAGCAAGAAAGTCAAATACAGAAAGCAATTAAGACACGAAGAAGCCATAATCGGATATAAACGACAAACAACAGATGAAAACTCAAACAAATCAAAGATTGACCCCATTAATCAACACAGGAACTTCATAGAAATTGATCATAGCTGAATCTAGAAAGCTGTAAATTTATGTTCATCCCCAATCCAAAACAAATTTTATCAAAAAGCCACAATCATCATCAGCAAAAACAAGCGAGATAATCCAAGAATCCCAACCTTCGAATAACAAATTTCCCACAAGGAGTGGAAGCAAAAAATTCAAAATCCTCTTCATACCCAAATGAAAATGACTTAACTGGTATTGAATAACATATGGATTACACGCTAGAATCAGCAGCAAAGTAAGCAAGTAAAACAGTTGTACCTCAAATTTTATGACAAATTTTTTGGCTAAAGACAGTGTCTGCACATCCACAGGCGGAGGGAAAGGGAGATTGATTGACTTTATCTGGGTTTTCGACACGAATGCTTCCAAAAATCTAGACCGAATCTTTGAATTTTGATCGGATAAAAAAACTGGCGGTTAGGCTTGGATTATACAATGAAGGTTTACTTGAACCGGTCTGAAATATTGGATCAGATTGAACCGGTCAAAAGATTATGAAATCTCTAAAAATTTCATCGAACCAATTTTTATATTATTTTTATTTTGGAGAATTAATTTTTAAAATCGTTATTTAGGGACTTTATCAAACTTTTTGTTTATTTAAGTTGCTGGTTGATCTGTTAAACAAGTAACAGATAATTTCAAGGTTTTTATCAAACTTTTGGTTTGATTTGCCAAATTTGATTTAAACTTTAATATTGATACGGATTGGTTAGATATAAAGATCTTGAATGTTATATTTAATATTTATTTTTTATTGCATCAATTAATTTTTTCTATTAAATTGATTTTTTATTGCATTAGTAAAAAACAATTTTTATTGTGGTAATTTGGATTTTTTTGAAAAAATCTCCAATTTGATATCTGAACTAAAAAAACGAGATTTGAAATGAAAAATAGATTTTATTGCATTAATTTTTGAAAAAAAAAAACGAATTTTAGTTATTTTTCTATAATTATTTTGCAAATTGGTTCCCCAAAATAAGAATCAGGTGCAAGTTGGTTCCCTAAAATGACGATTTTGAAAGTTGGTTCCCCAAAATGACGATTTTGAAAGTTGGTTCCCCAAAATAGGAATCAGGTGGAAGTTGGTTCCATTTTAATACAATTTTCCCTTATGAAAAACTACCATTTTGCCAACTATTTCAAAACAAAGAGGCAAAGCCGTTGACCTAAAAACCCCTATCTCAATTTAAAACAACTTATTAACTTATTCCGGTGTAACATCAGTAATAAACATTTTTTAGTGTTTGAATAAACAACTTAGCATCAGTAATAAGGAGTTTTTGAAGAAGTTAAAACTTTCTAACTTATAATAAATTGATAAGTATTTTTGTAGAAAAACATAAGTTGTTTCAAATAAACAATCCCAAAGAGCCCCTAAATAACAAAAGTCAGAATATTCAATAACTAAAACAAACTAAATATTGTATTTGATGATAAATCTTTATGTAGATATTGGTGTTATGTGTATAGAATCTATACCTTTGATTCAATGATGTTGGGTTGTTGCCGGTAAGCACGTTTTTATCTCCTTAAGCTAAAACACTAGTCATAGTGATGATCGTAAATCAGCGACTTGAATGAAATGTGAGAGAATATCGTCCTAACAGTTTGTGTATACACCATTAATGATCCATTTATACCGAATGAGCCTCGTACAAAGCTACAGAGTTGAAAATTTCCACCCAAACTCTTTATTTTTCGTACTTTTGATCGAACTGATTTTGGGTGTATTTGAGTTGTTTTACATTGCTCGAAAGCGATATACAAATTTATCTTCTCATACCTAATTTTCTTTGAGGAGATGCTTAGATTTCACAAAGTTGTGAATTATTTCTTTGCTTAATCAGGCTTTCGTGATTCATAGAGTTCTCCACCCCGTCCCTTCCATCACAAATTAATCGTTCGAATAATTGTTTAGTGTTTAATTCCTGTTAGAATTCTAGAATCGGGATTTGCGTACAATTTGACATAGATTTTCGTCAACATTTCATACCACCAATTCTTTATTTTCATAACACTTCTTCTTTTCTTTCGGTATTATGCCTAACAAATAAGTTTATGGTTGGATTACGCTAATGATATCTTTGATAAATAATATAAATTATTAATAACTAATGTAAAATAAATTAATAGAACAATTTAATAATTTAAAAAGTTTTGTACGATTTAGTAGTAATGAAAAATAACTGTTTGATAAGTATTTTGAATGTACAGTTTGGATGATCAAATATTATAATTTTAAAAATATAGGAATTTTCCTTTGCAAGTGTCTTGTAATTATCTGTATTGATCTAAGAACAAAAGGCCTTCAAGTAAATCGGCGACTAGTTGAAGTGAGACCAAGATAGTCACCAAAGTGGATTGGATTGTCATCTAGCCGAATGAAGATCAATATAAGATAAAGTCAAAAGTAGCATGACAAATACTACTTCTAGCAAGCCAATTATGGAGTGAAAACTTAACCAACAAGTTTGGCTCGCCAACTATACCAACTCTTATCCTGGTATAGGAACATGGTCGACATGTCAAGCAAAGTAAGTTGTAAAGTTCTATTTTATTAATAACATACTTTCTTTATTGTTCCCTTTGTATATGGAAGAATGGGTTGTGTTAAGAAACGTCTACATCACCTTCAAAGGCTGAAATGAGGAGTATAAGCATGCGCTTATCAGAAAATCAGATGAAGACACGCGTTACAGATGGACAACAGTTTAATGCATGATGACTATAAAAAGGTCATCATTGTCATATGTTACAACTCACTCATTTTGAAATGAATTCTAAATGATAGTTTCTTAGGCAAAATCGACATCAATCATCTGAAGGACTATGTTAATCTGAAAGGGTACCTTCTTCTCTCATTCTTTCAGTCATTAGCAAATTTGTAAACTTTTTAGCATACTGTTAAAAGTAGAGGTGATATAACTACGTAATCGATATATTATTAGGTGACATTCGAGTCTTCTGACAATGTTTCCTTTCCAACTAATATTTTTATTTGATAGCTTTCGTGTAACCAGTTTATGCAATTTATATAAAGAGTTGATTTTAAATGACCGACAAACTTTAAGTTTTTTAGGTTAACAGATGTGGGCATCAAAAATAGTTAAGAACACATAACGAGAATCAAGCTTGGTACTTGATAAAACCTGAACCACAATGATTGACTGCTAGATGAACCCGTTGAGATTTGACATCAACTCCATAATGCAGCACAATTGTCCTTCACTTGGACCCATTTATCAACGGTGGGCACATCCGATGACTTTATTTGTTATTATTAGTGTCGAAACCGAACCATCTGTTTGACTTTCGAACCATCCTATTAAATCTGATATTGATTAATTATTTTCCAAAAAACCTATATCAATAAACCAAAATCGACAAACATCAAAGTTTCAAGCTGTTTTGATGAAAAAAATAAATTTAAATTAAGAAAAATATTTCATGTCAAATTATTTCAATCATTTACTAAAAATTTCTTATTTATTTTTATTTGTAAATGTAGGCAGCTCTACGGTTTGATCATTTACCGACAATGATGATCTTTCAAGAACAAGTTATAACTGATCATATGATTTGTTCTTAAACGACCAGCAATGTCGGTAATATTAACTGTAAGGAGATGCTTAATCGAATCACATACTTAAACATCCATCACTGAAATACTTTCGCCTGAAAGACGCCACAGAGTTCAACCGTCTTGGTCATGTTACAAATGATCATTTTACCCTTATTCCGAGTATAATAACTCGGATCCGCTCCACTTGGGTTTATTTAATTTTTACATGCTTTTCAATGATTAATGGATATTGGATCTTTTATCCGAGAAGTTCACAACAACGATATGACCGTTGTGTCTAAATTAAAGTAATTTACCTTTGTTTAACCCAACTAACAAAGACTTTCATCATTGTTTTGAAATACGTACGTGCATCTTACGTATTTTGTTTATAGTTTATCTAAAGGAGTGAGATGCTGCTTGGATGTTAAACCAATAGAATCAATGAAAAATGTTTTTATATAACATTTTTAATATAAATATGTTCTATCCAAATTGAAAATACAAAATATCTTCCACCTAACGTGAAAATACAAAATACAATTCAATACTGATAAACTTAGATAGTCGCCCGACTTCAAAACACAATACAATCTAATGCAAATATGTTCCATTCAACTTCAGAAGACAATATCCCTACCAAACACAATAAATCCCTTTCTTCTTCCTTGTTATCTACTTCTTCACCGTCTATCACATGGACAAATGCAATTCGATATCTTTTAATTGGAATTGCTAATCAGTAGTAGTAACAACAATGCTTTGAAGGAGAGTGACAAGGGCAAAAAGTAGGGTTTAACATTAGTGAATATTTTTTAGGGTAAATATGGGTGTCTGGTCTACCTTATGTGCACGGTGTGTCTTGACTAATTTTATGGCCCTTGAAAAATAAAATCATTAGTGGCTTTAAGGAGATTAGAACTGAAGATTCATGATGAGGAACCCCAAGACGTAGCCTTTAATCTTTATTTGGCAATTGAGTAGGCCATCAAGGTTTCATGGGTAAAGACTCTTCATGATTCTAAGGCTATTGTAGAACACAAATCAATGGGGTTTTATTTGTAGATCGATGATGAGAATTATAGGGCATATGCATTACGATGTTGGCGTTCTAGCTAACGATCATTGTAAGATCCCAAAACTTGTAATATTCCATATTCAAATTTAAAGTCAATCCGGTAACAATAACAACAAGGTATAAGAATTTTCTAATGCATCTCAAAAGTTTGCAACGAAACTAAAAGAATCCACAACTAAGAATTTGTATATATATATATATTAAAAGAAGAACCAAGAGTATTGAAGTGACATCATGAGAAATGAGTATTGAGGTGTTGGTGAATTGTGGTTGAGTTTGAGATATTCCACATTAGTGAGATATTGAAATATTGGAATAAGGAGGTGTGTATAAGAAACAAGGATGAGATTAATTGTGTCAACTCATGAAGTTGAGTTTGAGATATCTCATATTGGTAAGAGATTGAAAGATTGGAATAATGAGGTGTGTATAAGAAAGAAAGAAAAAATTAATTAATTGTCAACTCATGAGGGTTGACTCATAAGGTTATCTTACTTGGATGACCCTATTTTTACAAAACAAATCTTATTATATAAAAATAAAAATGAATTATGTTTACAATCATCTATATATATATATATATATATATATATATATATGTATATATGTATGTATATTAAAATAAGAATCAAGAAATAATTAGGTGTATCATAAGAATTGAGTATTGAAGTGTTGATGAACTGTGATTGAGTTTGAGATATCCCATTTTGATGAGAGACTGAATCAATATATATAAATATATATATATATATATATATTCATT